GGGGGGCCCCCCGCCCCCCCCCCCCTGCCAGCAGGCCACTCAAACAAATACGTAAAATCTCCCGGATTTTCTGGAAATGAATAAAATGTGTTTGCGATGTTACTCTGAGTGCATATCCACACCGGGCGAGCTTGAAAAATATGCCCGGCCACGGTGCGATTCGAACCTACGACCTTTGGAATACTAGCCCAATGCTCTTCCAACTGAGCTACGCGGTCCGAGACGGTTCGAGTAAGTGATATTTCGGAACAGTATCTAGTTCCTTCAATACCAATGTGTTCTAGTAATATGAATGTGTGTGTGTGGATATGCGGTGTGGATATGCACTCAGAGTAACATCGCAAACATATTATTCACCTGAGTACACAACACCAACACAGAAAAATGAATAAAATGATCCAGTTTGAAATGAAGCCGCTTTTAAAAGTTCCTTTGCATGCAAAATGTAGGATCAAATAAAACATCCTTTTTTCGCTGCGGTACGAGATTCACATGAACTATGATGACGAATCTTAATACCTTCTTGCGGATTCTGACTATTGTGAAAACAGCATGATGAGCGAGTGAAAACCACGTACAGACGTACTGATCTAGATAAATGGTAAAAACACGTTACATGAGTTAAACAATAATGACAATAATGCAGTTTAGTTTTGCTACATACATCTCTCGGCCCTGTTTTTTATTTCTACTCTAGGTTTTTTATTCGCAGGGGTTGACAGGTTTGTGATGATATAGAGAATAATACATGGGTGCGCGGAAATAACAGATTTTGATTTCGAGTGTTGAACATGAATAACATGATATCTCAAAAGTGAGCGCAGCTTACAGAAATAAATCTGGAATTTCCAAGCATCCATGCCCATTTTTCTGTTTATTATATAAAGGACATTCTTTGAAAAGCGATAATTTTTACAGAAAGCGATCATTGAAAAGCGATAATTTTCACATGTGAAATTATCATAAATAATCTTGCATGTGAGATTATCAGTTTTATCAGTGCTCGAAATCTCTATATAAAAACACTATACTTTATATAATAAATTGAAATAAACTGTCGACTTTATTGGCCTCAAAGGTTCGTTTGTTTCAATTCAGTACTGAAATGGGCTATTCTATTTAATATCAGCATACACACCGTGTCGAGGATACGGCCGGAATTCTTCAGGGGCCGGTTGTTCAAAGGTGGATTAGCACTTACCCTAGCGGTTAACTTGCTGTTTTAGTTTATGTAGTTCCGTACGTCTGTTTATTTCAAAACTTCAGAGAAGAAAACTCTTACTGATTCAGACAAGAATTCTTGAAGAAATATTTCCAAATTTATAAACAAGCTGTTGGAAAGTTTGCTTTACTAGTAATTTTAGGTTAACCTAGGGTTAAGTTAACCCAGTTTTGAACAACTGGCCCAAGGGGATCAGTTTTACGACGGATAGCGCTACATGCATGAGATAGTGATTTTTTATCCATTGCACAAATGCTTGAAGAGATATATAATCTGCTAAATTCTGCTTTATACCAGCGATGAGCCGATGACCAATTCAAGAAAGCTTTAAAAAATACTATCCGGTGGATAGCGTTCTATACGGCTTTCGCACAACGGGCCCCATTACGCTGATCTATAATATATATCTTTCCAAAAGGCAACGCTAAAGAATAAAAAAAACTTAATGGAATAAAGATTTCGGTTACGTCATTTTTGTTATGATATAAGCGGACATGCAAACCAGGGTCGCATCCTGTCCCAAAGTAGTCACGTGACGATGAACCGACCATTTCTTGCATAAAGCAAGACAAAAACGATGGTGGTGTAATTTATATTTATAGATAATGAGGTGATTGAGGTCTATTTAATATGTCTGCATCGAGTTAAGCATCTAGTCCATCTAGTTTCCTAAATCTTCTTATTCTATTGACTATGATACAAAATACAAATCGTTACAAAGCTATACATTTTCCGCGAAAATTACAGTTTGTAATTTTACTAAGGGGCGGACCATTAGAAATCCCGGGAGGGCGTGTGAAAATTCCCCCAAAAAAATTCGTGCAAAGGAAAATGCCTGGAAAAAAAATTCGTGCAGCCATTACGTCAGAGAAAAAAAATTCGTGCAAGCAAACAGCGAAGTACAAATAGTCTTGAAAAAAAATTCGTGCAGAGGTTAAAT